TCCTTTGTCATTTCTTAAACATGCTAAGTGCCTGTTCAGGTAGAGATTCAAAACAAATAAAGACAAAGACACAACTGTAGCAAACTCTGTTTACTGGGGTTGCAAACTCTCTGGTTTTACCAAAGACATAGGGCTACTTTGCCCCTTGGGCAACATTGCTGCAAAAAGTTTCCATAAAATGCTGGGGGGAATCTGCAGTCATTTAATCGGTTTTGCATCTTTGCACTGTAGAGAAAGAACCACATCATTGTGTCTCAGGTTGTGGTTTCTGCTTGCCCAGTGATCTGTCCGAAGACTTGGCAGTGGCTTTGGAAAGCAAGTTGGGTGGGGGGAGTGATGACCTTGACTTTCCTGGACCGGGCATGTGAGCTGAATTGGCTGACCAACATGAATGTTGCTAACAAGCCAAGCAAGATAAATCACTGGCTGTCTAACCCCCCCCCCCCCCATTTCAGATTCCAAAATGACATCCATGCTGACCTGCTCTGCCAGAACGCTTCCTGCTATCTCACCATGGGCTGCTCGATTAGGTAAGTTCAGCTGCTTCTGGTTAGGCACCAAATTTGTACAAATATTAAAAGATTAGTCATAGTGGGTTATAACTGACTGTAACATTGACAGCATGAATCATTTATCTTATTTGAAACTTTTGCAGTGTCTCGTAATTGTGTCTAAATATGTCGCTCTGTTTTTATACTTCATGTTTATTTCAAGCTGCTTTGGGCACAATCTGCCATAGAAAACTTGCACTATAACTAAACTAGGATGCCAGTGGCCCTGCCTAAATGATTCCTTTTGTTTTAATGCTGCCTCGTCTGAACATCTGTGCCAGATTGCTTTGTCTGTAAACCAGGACAATTGCACAATAGGCCAGTTGCACATTTGGAAGTGATCTGAACTTGAAAGCACTGTCATCCAAACTGAGTCCAAAGAAAAGCTGCAGCTGTATTCCTGCCTCTGTTCATCCTAAACATTAGAGTCTCTTTGAGCTTTGGTAATTGAGATAATCTCTGGTGCTTTTGTTCCTAACTTGGATTTTGTTTTGCTTTTCTTCCAGCTGTAAGATCCCTCAGCTGTTCGCCCCAGTTACAGACAGCAGGTAAACCAATAGCATCACCAGTAGAGCAACCCTAAGGTGGAGGTGGGGTGGAGAAGATGCTCTGTTGGAGAATTTGTCCTTAGTAAGCCCTGCCAGCTCATGCTGGCCAGAGCAGAAGGTGGGAAGAAGGGACATTTTCCTCTTTTCCTGCTGTGGTCTGGGGTTTGTATTTTAATTCCCACCCACGGACGGCAGGCAGTGGCTGGGGAATAAAGTACATCAACTCCAGGGCTGGTGTGGTCTTGCAACTAGCTTGGGAGTGTCTTGGAGGCTTAGGATCATACAGATCCCCTGTCAAACTTGGAAAGAAATCCCACTGGTTGATTTCAAGTACAGTGGACGCTCAGGTTGCGAATGTGATCCGTGCGGGATGCACGTTCGCAACCCCCAGCGTTCGCAACCCGCGTCAGTGAATCTGCGCATGCGCAGGTTGCGATTCAGTGTTTCTGTGCATGCGCAAAGCACGATTTTGTGCATGCGCGACTGCCGAAACCCGGAAGTAACCCGCTCTGGTACTTCCGGGTTTCGGCGGTCCGTAACCCGAAAAAACCTGAAGCGGCTGTAACCTGAGGTATGACTGTAAGTGCATTGCAGCTCTCAGTTGATTCTGATTTGTCTTCTTAAAACAACAGCAACAAACTGAGAGAGAAATCCTTTCTAGCTCCAGCAATAGTTTCTTGTTTTGGCCTTTTACATTATTATTACAAAATTGTTAGAGATCTAGTTGCAACTCTCTGATCTCAGGCCGGCACTCCCATTGATGTACAGGAATCTTGTAAGGGAGTGGTCAAACTGGAATAACAGTTTAATGAGACTGATTGCAGGTTCTTGAGAAGCGAGTCTCAAGGCTCTCAATAAGATAACCTTGGGTCCTCTTTACAACCAGGTCTCCAAGTCTCTTTACTTAGTGTCTTCTTCCACTGAATTGGGTTAGACAAGCACTACCTACACCCGAGATGTACTTTAGACTTTGATTTTGTCTTGTTTCTGCGAACATTTTGTGCTCACTGCAAATCATACCTGTGCGGAATTCACAAAAGCTGGTTTTCTGGTACAGAATGTCACCTTGTGAAGTGAGACCCTCTTTACGCAATGGAAACTGGGTGTCCCTGTTTGTCTGGCTTTAAATTGCATTTGCTGTTTGGGGATCCAAGCGCTGCGCTATTTGTCATTAATGATGAGTTTCTAGACAAATTTCAAGATTGCCCTAATATCTAATTGGCCATTTATTGTTAAGTTAATAATAATTTGTTATTTATACCCCACCCATCTGGCTGGGCTTCCCCAGCCACTCTGGGCAGCTTCCAACAAAATATTAAAATACAGTATTGTGTCAAACATTAAAAGCTTCCCTGAACAGGGCTGCCTTCAGATGTCTTCTAAAACTCTGGTAGTTGTTCTGCTCTTTGACATACTCAGTTCCTTCAACTTTTCAACATTTGGGAGTAGGTTAGAAGGATTAGCACTTTTCAGTGTTCATGAAACTTTGTGTATGTTGTTTCAGGAGTATGTTTTGCCAATAGATTGGGCATAGCTGAACACACACTCTTGAATGCTTCTCAGACTGAATGGTGACTGTGATGGGGAATTAAACTCAGGTTTTGACTTAAACCAGGGATGGAGAACTAATGACCCTCCAGGTCTTGTTGGATTGGGCTTCCATCAGTCCCAGCAGGCATGGCCAGTGGTCAGGGATGATGGGAACTAGAAGCCAGCAGTATCTGAAGTGCCCAGAGTTCCCCCTTCCTGGCTTAAACTCACAAAGGACTCTCGCTCAAAAATCATTGCATTCTTGCTTGCCTTTTAATAACAGAAATGTTGCTCTTGATCTGCGTTGTCTCGATCAGTAGTCATTTATCATTCTCTTTCTGCAGCTCAGCCCAAGACTAAAAAAACCTTGGCTAAAGATGGGGTGAAGAATATTGTGGTGGTAGACGGGGTTCGCATTCCATTTCTGCAGTCAGGAACCTCGTGAGTATTAAATCCTTCCTTGTAAAGTCTGGGGACTTGTAAAGGACTTATAAAGTCTCAGGGGAAACCTGGTGTTGACGGAGAAAATGCCTGTGCAGCTTACTGTTAATAATATTAATTTAAAGTTAACTGCAGATGATGCGCTTACTATCCTGGCATGTAAATAAGAGACTCAAGGAGACAGCTACCATTGTCCTGTGCCCTTCCGTAGAGCAGTGAGTGGCTGAAATGATTTACCAGGGAATGTCCACTTTTGTAGTGGACATTTCTTCCATTAAGTAATTCAGTATATTTTCATGGACCAGCCTTATGATCCAAAACAGCACTCATAGCAATGTAGAATTGCTTATAATTAGTTATTGGTTGGTTATATTATTCTGTTGATTAAAAGTCAACGTTAAAAGGTTGCTGGTCACCTGATTTTTCTCTGTTCACGACCTGTGCCACAAAGTAGATTTAATGAACACCCATATTAGAGTGCTTTGTAAATCGATAGTCATAGCCTTTTATATACTAACCTTTTATGCTCTTCCACATCCGTTTAATGTTCCTAACCCTTCTTTTAGAATCTTTTAGCTTCTTTTAGATTCTT